CAATTCCTTGGTAGTTCAACCAAGACAATACCCGAATAAAATGATACCCCTCAAATTCATAACCAATACTAGAATTCTAAAAGCTAATTCCTTGGCGAATTCAAAACTCAATACCATGACCACACAATGTTTGGTGCATACAAACAAGTAGGCAAAATAATCTTCTATCACAAACTACTTAGGAATAATCCACAAATTATCCTCCAAATGAAGAATTAAAGCATAATAATCATCAAACACTTAAACAATCAAACACCTAAATCTAAATACCTAGCCACTTATGATGTCAAGAAACACAACCATAAAAAAAGAACACATATATTAAAGAAAAGTATTCTAATAAGTGAATACAAAAGTATAGTAAACAAATCTAAAGAAAATAGAGATAAAACTTATATTTAAAGACTAAACACAAAAAAGTCAAGAAATTGGAACCAAAATCGAGAGAAGGGCATTGTTGTGAAGTCTCCTTGGCCGCCGTCAATTTTTGTCCGGCGAAGGTTGGATTCAGACCTTGCTGTTCGATGCAGATAGTCAATGATGACAACCAACACCTAAAACTGCATCTAGTTCCTCTTGTTCGTCGATTGGGAGCTGAGCAGAGACTAGGGTTCATCGTCCTCAGCCTTCCGTCTCCAATCATTTGTCCTATCTCGATCCTTGTGTCTTGTCCTCGATAGTCCAGCCTTTCCCGATCCTCCCTCCTTCTGCCGTATCAGCTCCTGATCCAAGTTTCATGCCTCCGTTCTTCCGTCCCCCCTTTCTATCCGATCCAGCATTTTTAATCAAAATAAACTTTTACAAATTATAAATAGACCCCATTTAGGCAATATCTAATAAGTTTGCTATTTGGTCTTTCCCTTACAATTAGACTCTAAAATCAAACCATAAACATAAATGAGTCCAAAATCATAATATTAACCAAGGTTATGCAGTTTAATATAAAAACAAAGCCAATAAGTCTAACAAAATATAAGAACACATGCACAAATACTAGGCTATATCAAGAAGGAGGGCTAGGGTTAACGTGACACGCTTGTGGTAAGAGTGGTGAGGTATGAATGTGTTCGGAGGTGAGGCAATGACGCANGGGGGGGGGGGAGAGAGAGAGAGAGAGAGAAAATTAAAAGAAGTATTCATATCAATTTGAACAAATAACAGATTCAAACCCTCAAAGGCTTCGATTATTACCTATAACCGATGCCATTGTCTTTTGCTTTTTAAAATTTTTGAATAATAAAAATGAGTATTAGCATCGGTTATTTGGGATAATCGATATAATTGATTGATTACATTTATTATTCAAAATAACTGATGCTAACACCCCGTATTCTAAACCAATGTGCGGGCTCAACCACACATTTTCCCCCTTTTTGCCTTGATTTTTCCAGCAAGTGATGCAAATGGTGCAATATATTATTTGCCCTTATTTAATAGTAGTGACTGGAGTGAACAATTCTTTACATAAAATCATATTGAACTTTGGTAAAAAGGTGGAGGATTGCTAGGCTTAGCCGCGGTGACCTGATCCAAGACGTCCTTTATAGGAGATACATAACATACTCCATTGAAGATTGCAGTCTTTATTCCTTTAAAACCCTAAGTACGTTAAAGAATGAGATGAAGTTAATGAATTGAAGGAAATAGAGGTGCACTGTCCACAATCCCAAACCTTAGCCTAGCTTATATCTGTGTAGCAATGGATGGTGAGTTTAGAATAAAGATGATGACCGTGAGTGTTTTGTATTAAAATGAGTTCTTGTAAATATACATTTTATATATTTGTAATTATTATTATGTAGTTATCAAATGTGTATGCATATATTTTTGAGTAAATTCTCTAAATAATCTCTAATTATAGGTGGTCCTCAGTTTTTAAAAACTTATCAAATGTATATGCATATGTTCTTGAGTAAATTTTATAAATGATCCCTAATAAGAGGTGATCCTCAATTTAGTCCCCAATTCTAAGATATTACATACGAGTAATTTTTTTTGAAGGCAACACAAACAACATTATTGAATTAAATGATTAGAAATAAAAAGTCTGGGGGAGATGAAAACCAAGAGGAGGGCTGAACACTCGCTCTACATGCAAGCGTATGAGCGATACAATTAGCTTCTCGATAAACATGGGAAAACATAAACGAATGAAACTCGTCTAAGATTGTCCTACAATCCTCCAAAGGTCCTAGGTAGGAGCAAATCTGATAACTTTCTTCACGAAGTGCTTCCACTACCCTGCTACAATCAGATATGAGCTCCACATCTTGGATCCCATCCGCCTTCATCCAAACAAGTGTCTCTCTACAACTCTACAAGTCATTGTCTCTACCAACATCGAGTTTGGAACACATTGCATCAATCTATTCAGAGCTACACAAAAAGATCCTGCCCCATTTATAATTACACTCCCAAAAGATAGCGCTCCCGAGGTAAGGAAAATGGATGTATCAACAAAACAATGAAAAACATTCTGTGCTGAGCCCGAACTATTGTGTGATATTTTATTCCTTTGACTTTGAGAGGGTCTACTAGCCCCATCATGAACAGTTTCTTTAACCCACCGTACCATAATTTTTGGCAAAAGAACATTGTGTTCCCACTCTACCTTAGCTTGTTACGAGCTTTCCAAATTGCCCAAATAGCTCCAGCCACTACTTTAAGTTGATTGATCGATAGAGCTGCAAATTGACCCTCCATTCAATCTACTAAGCCACAATTGAATGAACTTAAATAGTCCACCCCAAAGAATTCCAAGTTGCAACTGCCACAGGACATTGAAGAAAAATATGGGAAGTAGATTCCACAACAGTGTCACCGACTTCACAATCAAGATTCACCTCAACTCCCTTTGTTGACAATGTTGTTTCCGCAGCAGTGTCATAGGCTCAGGTCCTCATTCTCTCTTTAGCCAGCCGTGCTCAAATAAGTGAATTTCTTTCTCTTGGTACAATTTTCTTTGAATTTCTCCTTGAAAGTTTCCTCCATTTGATTGAAGGAATCGATTATCTAGGGGGAGGGGGGCTTGTTGAACCACTTCGTGGCTAGGCCACGAAGGGCGTGAAAAAGAGAAAGCACTCTAGTGAAGGGATTTGATGTGAATTTTCGGGTCCTCCTTTCTAGTGGACTTAGGCATTTTTTCCCGTGAACATAGGCATTTCCAGCTTTTCTTTCCATAGGAAATGAGTCTCATTTATCCTTGGTTTGAATGGGAAGTCCGTCAGCACACACTCCTTCATTTCTTCCCAATCCACTTTTTTCTGCAGCTTCTCCACCCATGCCTCCACGCGATCTACCCGGTCTATCGGTTAACCCATCCGTGAGTGCACAGTCCTCCAGGGCTGGCTCTTCACCTCATTCTCTATCCGAGAGACCCGGGAACGTTGAGGTTCATCCCGAGGGTCGAGGTTCGAACACTTAGTCTGACCAGGCCGTCCCCTTCACCCAGGTGGTTGATCGCGCTAACCTGCACGAATTCTGAACATAGCCTCTCCTTCGTTGGTCTCCTTTGATCCCCTCCGCCGGTTTGAGTTGAATGTGGAAACTGGTGAGACGAAACGTTCAAACCTCCACCCTCGGAATAAACCTCAGCTCAGCGTTCCCGGGTCTCCCGGGCAGAGCATGAGGCGAAGAGCCAACCCTAGAGGACCGTGCACTCACGGATGGGGCAGTCGATATGCTGGGTAGATGGTGTGGAGGCCAGGGCGGAGGATCTGGGTTCATCCCACTCTTCATCCTTGATATGGACATACCAAACATCAGGTCCGACGTGATTTGCGATTTGCCCCTCTTGGGTACTCTAGCCTTCTCCATCGCCCCCACTAGGTTCGTGGGAACAAACAGGCTGATGATACTGGGTTGGAAAGGTGACGGGTGACTCAGCGGCATTGTAAACGATGCCTGAGTCAAGGCGTGGGGGTACATTCCAGGGATAAATGACAAGAAAACACCAGGTTGCTGGAAAATAGACATAATCTGTCCAAAACCCTGGAATCCCTATGAGAATATAATGCTAGGTCTGTGGAAAGCTGGGTTAGGCTTGGTGGAAAAGTGAGCCTTGGGATTGGCCCCGACATTAGGCTTGACGGGTGGCCATAAGGATAGGGACCATGGTGGTTATTATGGGATTTGTTCCATCCGTACGTCTAGCTCGGATTTATGGGGGTGATGTTGGGGATGGTGGTGTTTAAGTTACTGGTAGACATGATTCTTTTTTGGAGAAAATGTGTTTAAGGTCTCATGGTCGGCACCAACTTGATGGTGTAAAATCTACACCAACTCAGACAAAACGTAACGCAAAGGCTAGAAGGGCTGTAGGTGGGAACACCTGTAACCCGATTGTTATATTTCACTTTGTATGTTTGTTACAATTTTGTCTAGGTGGTATTATTTCACACTCTAAGTTGCCTCCTCAATTGAGAAGGCTTACATCAACATTTATAGGGACAAAATGTATACTATTTAGAAAAACTGTAGCTATCCCCTGTCATTCTTATTGTAGCCATCCCTATGTCAGGTTGAACTCCGTAGTGAAGGGTAGGCGATATGGGCTTATTCGGCTTGTCCCATCATCAACTTGTACTATCACATCCAAGTGGCGTCCCACCCGGTTCATTCACCCACCAGCAGACATTCAACACTTGAACTAGAATGTTGGTATCCCGCCCGGGTGTTCCTCCCAGTCAATGGTGTAAAGTTTGGGCGGACGAGGGCACAAGGCCTTCCACTTGTTCAGACCGGGTATTAAAGGTTGTCTCCCTCTCCCTCCATTACCACAAAAATGGGCAAGAAACTAAAACAAAATTAAATAAATAAAAATGAGGTAAAAATAAATGGTGGAGAAAAGAGTGAGATAAAAATGGGCTACACCTCTAAAAATTAATACTCCTGGGTATTCAATTAATAAAAAATGAATAACATATATCTTGGGAAAAGATCTTACCATCTCTTACATCACTTTGTTTGCTAGCACTTTGCTGGTATGGAGTACAATTTAGGTCAATCTGGGATTTCCAAATTACCATCTCATCGAAGTGGGAAGCCCAGTTGGCATGGACCCGCACTCTTCCCACCTCGCTGCACCGGCCCGTTCTCGGAGCTCACAGTCTCCGTCGCCGTCGCACTCCGCGTCGGCCTCGGCGACGTCATCTATCCACAAGCGAAAGCTGGTGTCGGAGGAGCACGCGCCTCCCTTTCCCTCCTCCTTCTCCGATACCCGTGACGGTGCGCTGACATCGAACGATGACTTGGAGAGCATCAGCGCACGGGGTGCTGACTCAGACTCCGAAGACGAGTCCGAGGAGGTCGCAGACGACGACGAGGAGTACGACGATTCTTCAATGCGCACTTTCACGGCCTCAAGACTGGAGAGCAGCGCGGCGCCACTAGCTAGGAATACGAAACTCAAGACAGATGCTAATTCTGTAAAAATTGAGCCAGTTCAATTGGCCAGAGACACTGGAAGTGGTGGTTCTGGCAATTCCGTGGCCCCACAAGCAGGTGGCTCTGTTTCAGGAGTTGTGGTGAAGGATGAAACAATGAAGAATATTTTTAGTGAAAACTTACAGACAAGTGGGGCCTATATTGCAAGGGAAGAGAGCTTGAAGAGAGAGGTAACTCATTCTGTTCAAACTACAAACTATTGTACTTTGATCTGCTTTCATGGTATCCCTCACTCCCAAGTTAGTTTTCCATTGGCTTCACCAAGATTATGAAATGTGTGCTGCTTTCATGTTCTTTCTCTTTCTCTGCCCTCATTGTCCTACATCATAGGGGAAAGGGGAATGAATCTGAAATCTTTAGCATAAAGTCACTCACTTTGCTATTGACTTTATCTCAAATATATCATAACAGATTCTCTTCATTCTTGCACTTCTGCTTGTTACATTACTACATTATTGTGCTAAGTGACTAACTACTAAGTTAGTAAGCTGTATGGACATAAAAGGTAAGGTTCCATTTTTTCCCGCTATGAGCCCAAGACTACAAGAGTCTGTTTAGGTTAAGGTATGGAGGGAGTAATTAATGAGTGTAGGAAAGCACAAGTACTAGAAATGTGGAGGGTAAATGTAAATTCTTAGTTTCTTACACTTTCCTTGCGTGGCAGAAGATAAAATGGGAGAGAGGGAAATGGTAAGTAGCCTACAGGAAGGAAATGGTATAGATGGTGATGGGTATTGAAATGGGTGGAGGATGTGATAGCTAGTGGCTGTATGCAATTAAGATACACCCTATTTTCTTTAAATAACTGTCTTACTTCTCCATCCAACCCAAATCAGTGTTAGAAAATTAATCAAAATGAGTGTAGGGAAGGAGAATTTCAACACTTCCTCCGCCTAGTTTTCTTTCATTAGTTCGTAGAACTTCACTTATCACACCTACAAGAGGAAGAGAAGATACCGGATCATTGCGGATCATCTAACAAATAATCTAAATCTGCATGACTACATGTTAATGCTTTATGGTAAATACTACAATTGGCATCATCTTAGTTCCTGAAGGCTGGCCACATACGCTGTCAAAGAATGGGAAAGAGTATGTATCATCAATCAATGAATGATGCATACATGCAATTATGAATATAAGACATGTATTTTATTATCAGTATTTGTATTGCATTTTTTGTTCAGAGTTACGGGTAGTGCCTATCATTGATAAAGCACGATAAGACAATTTGAGATGGTTTGGCCATGTCTGTGGCTGAGAGCCTGAGATGCAATGGCTCAAGTGAAGAGTGTAAGAGACCTTTGGTAAGGGGACCACTATAATAAACAAACCAAGCAGGGCATGGGATGAGCAATTAAGGTTTGACTTGGCGGTCGCAAAGCTCTCTGATCCTGAAGACATCATATTAGGGTTATCGAGTCCTTGTAGAAGATGTGTGTTTGCACTGTAGCTTTTTTTACTCATTCAGTCACTCCTCAAATTAAGTGTGACTGTTTGTTTGTTGGGGTCCTCTCGGAAACAACCTCTGTACTCATTTGAATGGATATGAGGTGCGCATACATGTATTGCCTCATAGACCCTAGTACCCTACATTTTAGTGGGATGTACCACAGTTGTTTAGTTATCAAGTGCATTTTTAGCATGATATTGAAGATTGCCCATATAGTAAAGGAAATCACCAATACCGTTCTTAGTCCTGAATTTACTAGGTTAACCTTTTCTAAAGTTTTTCTGTGACTGCTTTATCATATTTTGTTTCCCCCCTTTAAAAATCATTAACTATTTCCATGAACAATTTTAAAATGTTACAGGAGGAAGCAGGAAGACTCAAGTTTGTATGTGTTTCAAATGATGGTGTTGATGACCACATGATTTGGTACGGGGCATTGCTGATCCGTTTTTAATGTTCACTTTTGTTTTGTCCTAACAAAAAGTTTTTAAAAATAGCCTAATGAAACAATAAAAAGCGCAAAATATAATAAATGCCTAAGAAGCTCATTATATTGGATTTCTTCAGGTTGATAGGATTGAAGAACATATTTGCTAGACAGTTACCAAATATGCCTAGAGACTATATTGTGCGTCTTGTAATGGACAGGTATGTTCAATGGATGTTTCTCTAATATCAATGTGTTTGGATTACTATCCTTTTCACTGTCAGTTGAACGCAGTGGCTTGTATTTCAAGAAGGCATTCATTGTTGTACTATGAAGCATGAATACTTCATATAGGTAAAAGTACCTGAGTATCAGTGTGCTTTTACTTTGTTTATACTTTAAAATTTGAAAAAGGGAGCTTAAAATCTCAAGGCATTTAATTCAAATTGTATATATTTATATTTTAAATTTTTTAAAAAGGAACTTTATTGTTTATTCTTTGGACCTGTTTTTGAAGTTAAGCAGCAAATTGGTGGAATTTGCCAATGTGGGTCCATCGTCTTACTTGTAGTGTTACTCGAAGAAATTAGAGGGATTTCAGCACAAGTTCTAATCATTGCAAATGAAATAAAAGTTTTCTGCAGCTTTTAAATTCTAATACTTGCATAATTTATTTTTGAGCACTTAACAGCTTCATACTAAAGAGAAAAATCGCATGAAGTTCTTTGAATGAATTGGTTTAAGTGAAATACAATCATTCTTTGGAAATGTGATATGAACAAAAATGTGGGGGTGTCATTGTAAGACTCATTTTGGAGGCATTGTTTATGGGGTGTCACTTTATTATTAGCACAAATCATTACAATCTCAAGTTCCTCTTAGAGTGCATTTGACTATGGTTTCACAATAGCATCGAGTCAATAAATTAAGGGGTTTATATTTCATCGTAGAATACGAACTGGGGAAATTGAACAAAGCTGCAGATGCATTGTCACATTGAGACCAATAGAAGGAGCTCTATTTTGCGATTTCGCTTCCCAAGTCAGCTTTACTAGCAGGTGTTCAGACAACGTTACAAGGAGATGCTAGTTATGTGACTTTCGTGCAGATATGTGATGATTGCGAGCACTGTCCATTGCCACTTTGTGGCGGCGGCCTTCTCTTGTACAAAGGAAAATATCCCTGCTGAGTCTGTTTAAATTCAGCGGGTTCTACAGGACACCCTCACCAATAACCATGTAGGTGTTATAAAGACAATTCACTGCATTTGTCAGAATTTTACATTGGCCAGGCCTCAACTGCAAGGTGCACAAGTGGCTAATTTCACAGATAGTCGCCAACATAAGTGGGCAAGTGCATCTCACTGGCCTGTTGTAGCTCCTCCCCAGCACATATATGTGCAGATTTTATTAGAACTTATACGATTGTTTAAAACTAATGGGAAGTCGGTGACTTTCGTGAGGGTTGACACGTTGTCAGAGTATGCGCATTTCATTGCTATGCAACATCCGTATACGACCACAATGACTCATCTTTTTTTTCTCATGCCTTCAAGCTCCATGGCCAACCAGAATCCAATGCGAGCGACAGGGATCCTATTTTAAGGAGCAACTTTTGGAGGGTGTTGTTTAGTGTTTACTTTGAAGCTTGAATAGTAGGACAACACTTAATTTTGGAGAGTGTTGTTTAGTGTTTACTTTGTGCAGGACAAAGCTTAATTTTGTTTCATCTTATCACCTTGTTTAATTCGTATTTCGTAAGCACCCCACCAATGAGTGCATCTCCTTGGGCAGAGTATTTCCACACTCAATTGTACATCCTTTACTTGATTCTTGCAATTTACCTCAATCCACATAGTTTACAGGAGCTCACCCCTACAGTTATTGTCCTGTGATCTTGGTACATCCAAATCAGAGGCATTTGACGAGGCCTAGTGGTCAATGGATGGAATCTTACACAATGCACGAGATAACATTCAACTGACACAGTTCCGTAAGGAGCAATGTCATAACCATGTGCACCATGATGCTGTTTTCACTCCACGGGAGCAGGTTTGGGTGATGTTGAAACCCTATGACACATTAGGTGCACAGAAGATCATAAGAATATTGGGCTGTTCCAAATCCTGGACTTCATTGGCAATGTGGCATATTGTTTAGCTGTTCTCTCCGAATCCATGATCCCTAATCTCTTCCATGAATTACTTTTGGTTATTTACTCCGTATTAGTCATGCAAACCTTCTCTACACAAGGAGAATTATAGATTTGTAAGAAGAACAAAGTAGGTGCTCCAAAGAAGTTTTTATAGTTAGAGGATCTCAATCAAATCCTCAATTCTTTATTGCCGTGATGTCGTTCCTTTTTTTTGGCAGAGCAACTCATCCTGTGAGTCTCTGACAACTGAAGCTTCCCTTTGGCTTAGTTAGCAAATCAACAGTCTGCTCATCACATACACGGATACACCCCAAATGTTTAGAACTAATTTTCATTTTTTCATTGTTTCTCATACTGTTGTCATTGAATTCAAATATTCTTACCTGAAGTCAATAAGTTATGGTTGACTCGAGTAACTCTTTTGTAATGCACATCCCCCCCTTTTTTTGAAAAACGCACATTTCCCTTTCTAATAGCTTTTGCACCAACCTAAGAGGATAATTCTAAAGAAGTAAAGTATGTGTGTCAGATACACCTTAGACAAGGGGACACATGTCACCCTTGTCACGCTCATAAAATGTGTCCCCATTTTTTTTACCTAATATGAGGACAAATGAAACACTTTGACTTGAGGACATAACACATGTTGTAAGGATGATGTATTTTTTAACGGCAACAATCTGACCTTAATCCCGCTCAATGGGGTCATTGTGCTTCAAACCTTGTCTGTGTATGCATGCATGCATATATGCACATACATACCTACCTGGCTATCTATATGTGCATATGTGTATACTGCCTAAGGATACAGGTATGCTTAAAAATGTCATTTCCCACAGGCATGCTTAATCGTGTTTATGCTTTCATAGCCTAATAGAATAACAGTTTATGTAAGTATCCCAATATCCACATTAATTGTTTATAAGATTTGAGTCTAAAAGTGAGGTAAACTTCAACTTTTGAAGACTATTTTGGGACTGAATTAGGTCCTACACCAGAATATTAAAGGGAGACTAACAAGATAGTAAGATCGTGGGTTGAATTAGGTAAATAATTGGATTCAATCTTTTTGTCTGGTTTGGCAGCCTTTGGCCTAAGTGTCTAATAGTTGAGTTGTGTGACTCCTATATAATCCTAGATTCAATCATATCCAACTATTTTGACCCACTTTACTTGTGTGCTTGTTTGTCTAGAAGTCTATCCCAGTGGCCCGTGAGTCTATAGTTAGTTAGTCCATGTGAATATCCATTCCTAAGTCCTATCTGCCCGAGGCTAGTTTAATTTGGTTGTTTGGAAGTTCACTCCCAAGGATCAATGATCCTTTAGGTATTTGTCACTACATCTCGAGCTTTAGTTTGCAAGAGTCCAATAGTTAGATTGAAAATTGTCCAACTATCCATTTGGGGATTAGGGAGAGTATTAGTCCTCTCCTGGAATATTAAAAAGAGAATGATGGATTAGTAAGATCTTTGATGATAGCTAATCTATTGGATTAAATCTTTGTGGTTTGAACCAAGTGTCTTATGACCCAACTGATTGACACTACTCAATTATGAAGCATATAAGTTTACTTATGTTTTAGTATTTTGTTCTTAGTATTTTCTAACTTTTACAATGACATTTGATGCAGAAACCATAAATCTGTCATGGTCATTAGACGTAATCAAGCTGCTGGTGGCATAACATTCCAAGTTGTCGGTGGCATAACATACCGACCTTATTTAAGGTACTGTAATTTTTTCCTTGCAAGCAATAATGAATTGTCTTTTTTGTCTACAGAGCTATATGACTATATCGTTATTAGTCAAGAATGGTACAATTGTATAAATAATCAATTAAACTCCTTGATTTTCTAGAGACTTAAATTTTCTGAGTCCCACAAGGGGTTCAAAACTTCAAATCAATCAAATTTATTATCCAGTTTGCTCACTGGCTCCTAAAAGAAAATCAAGAATGAGAAGTTGATTATGTCAAGCTTGGCAAGATATTTGTTAGTATTTCTAGTTTTCTACATCTCATGTTAAATTTCTCTGACTAGTTATCTGTATTTGGATGCTTTAGCCAGAAGTTTGGGGAGATTGCTTTCTGTGCTATTACTGCAGATGAACAAGTTAAGGGCTACGGCACCAGACTTATGAACCACTTGAAACAGTTTGCACGTGATGAGGATGGACTGACTCATTTTCTCACATATGCCGATAATAATGCTGTTGGTTACTTTGTCAAACAGGTGCTGCAAATTTCCAATGTCTTTGTTCTTATTTGGTACTTCTATTATTTTGAAATCTCTAACTCAATCTCATCATAAGTTCCACGGGTGAAATATGGATAAACATAGTAAAGAAGTAATTGCCATTAAAATATGAGGAATTGATAAGTTGGACAAAGGAGTCCTAGGTGTGCTTGTGCTTCTCCCACCGAGTCTTGCGCAGGTATGTGCGCCCTAAGGTGAAGGTGACATTATTTGGTTGAGATCAATGACAGAAAGCTGAACTATCTCATTGTAACACAACTGGATCTGTATTTTGCTGTTGGTCTGGGCAGTTAGTATGGAGCATCTCCATGCAATTAGGTGCTATTATTCAAACCAAAGACTACTTTATGGAACAGTGGTCATGCTTAGGTTGTTCAGATGTTGATTGGGTAGATTGTTTATATGGCAAACACTCCATCTCTAGGTATTGTATGTTTATTGGTGGCACTCTAAATGTTTTGAAGAGTTGGAACCAAGGTTTGGCTGTGTGATCTAACCAAGTCTAGATCCAGTACAGTTTCAAATTCGGAAATGTACCAGTTCATTTTTTCTGTATCAGTGTGTACTGTTGCTCAGAATAGTGCTACCTACCTAGTATTCCAGTAGAATAAGTAGTGGGCTCAATATTCATTTTTTGGACAATTCTTTTATTGTTAAAGTCCCACATCAGAAAAGTGAAGAAAATAATGGGTATATAAGCTCTTGAGTTGAACTAAGTAATCGATTGAGTTCAATCTTTTAATGTGGTTCGATCTAAGTGCCTTATTACCCAGTCTAGTTATCACTACCCCATTCTCAATTATTTCATTTATAAATAAACATATGGATGGGTGTATGGCCTGTATGCAATATCTGCACCCGGCTCGTGGTCCTTTGGGTGTTGGTGAAAAAAAAAATAAGGGGATGAGAGTTCATTTGCAAGTAGTCGACCGGTTAGATTCAAAATGGTCCGGTCATCCACTTGAGGGGGAGTGTTAAAGAGTATCTCACATCGGAAAAGTGTGAAGAAAATAATGGGTATATAAACTCTTGAGTTGAACTAAGTAATCGATTGGATTCAATCTTTTAATGTGGTTCAATCTAAGTGCCTTATTGCCCACTCCAGTTATCACTACCCTATTCTAAATTATATCATTTATAAATAAACATATGGATGGGTGTATGCAGTATCTCCACCCTCTTTTAAGCGTCAATAAGAGAAATCCAAAATCAGTACATTGCATACTAATCTAGTTTAATTATGGTATGATGACCAGTACAATATTCAAAACCTTATACAAAAAGCGTGTAGTGTCTTATGAGTCTTATGACCATTGCTACATGAAAATGTTATATAATTGAAGCCCTTAAGGAATTGCAGTATAGTAATGTAGCGCAACTGACACATACATATTTTAAGGATTTTATAGTACAAATGTTTTTCTATGTGCTTGATCTTTTGGATAAGGTTGTTGGTTGATATGGTATCGACGCTAGTTTACGTATAGGTCATGAGTTCAATTCGCAATCACCTTGTAAAAACTGACACATACATATTTTAAGGATTTTAGAGTACAAATGTTTTTCTATGTGCTTGATCTTTTGGATAAGGTTGTTGGTTGATATGGTATCGGCGCTAGTTTACGTATAGGTCATGACTCATGAGTTCAATTCGCAATCACCTTGTAAAGTATAGATGAATCTTTAGTGCAACCACACTTCAAAATCGAATGCCATTCACATGATGAGGCATGATAGAGTACATAACTTTTCCTAGGTCAATAACCATGAACATAAGGTTTTTGTCGAGTTGGTTCCTTAATATATCACCTCGAATTTAGTATCTAATGAAAAGAATAAACACTTAGATTGTAACTTCTTCATTTAAAAGATCAGTTCAAAAGGGTCATGTATGGACATGTTAGGAGATTCTTTGCTTTTAGTGATCAACTTGTACAAATACTAGCGAGATCTCTACAAAAGCTGCATGGAATCTCTTAGAGGTTTGAGAATTCAGTATCTAGCTTGGTGCATAGAATTTATATGCTCTATCTTGTGTGGGAGTGTTGTGATGTATAAGGATAATTCTAACAATGGTGAGCTTAACCCATTTTATTTTGTGTTATAAATAGAGTATGTGCACAACCTTTTATATATCAAAGTATTTTGTTTTCTTATTATATTCTACACACCATTATTGTTCATTTATCCATGGCTCGTATTTTGGTGCTAGGGTCTTCCTATATTATGTACTGGGATTCTTCGCATCATGGGAATAAATTAAAAGGATAAATAGAAGAAAGGATGCAATTTTAGGGGGTTTTCCTTCTCCTTTAGGATTTCAAAAGGTTTCCTTCTTGAATTCTTCTTAATTCTTCCTCGAAATGTTTTTCTCAAAGCAAAGCTCTCTTTTATAATACGGATTACATGCGTAGAAACATCGTAATCAAGGAAAGGAAAATATTAAATCACTTTCTAAAGTATATCGAGTATAAGTTAATGAACGTAATAGAATCAAATTTTAAAAAATCATTCATATTTTGGAAAATCAATAAGCTACCGCTCCCCTCAATCTTCTAAATGATGCTTTTATTCCTTACATACTTTTATAATGTTACATGCAATCGTGCATCATACTCTATGTTGAAAGCTCAAAGTAGTTTTATTAATGTTTCAACTTGATATGCAACAATGTTATATAAAATCTTAGTGTTTTGTCTTTTATTGTAAGCTTAAAGTTTGTTCTTTGCTTATTTTTTATATTAGGGATTTACAAAGGAGATTTATTTAGACAAGGAACGTTGGCAAGGGTATGCTTTCCCAAGTTTTCTATAATGCCTATATTTGGGTATCTCTCATTGTAATGTAAATTGAAGCTTTATCTTCATATAATAACACAAAGCTATATGATGTTGCTTTTCAAGTCCATTGTTCATTTGTCTCTTTCAATTCCTAATTTTCTAGGTACATCAAAGATTATGATGGGGGAATCCTTATGGAATGCAAAATTGATCCAAAGCTTCCTTATACTAATTTATCTACCATGATACGCCAACAAAGACAGGTAAAAATGATCTTTATGATTTTGCATTTGAGAGTACCACATTTCTCTATAAGAAGTATTATGATGCCTCCTTATTAGGAGCTAAAATAACGGTTAGTATGATTCACTATTGCTCAATATTTGTTGAAGCTAGGCAATTGATGAAAAGATACGAGAACTTTCAAATTGTCACATTATCTACCAAGGAATTGATTTTCAGAAGGTATGGGCACTCATTCAAGCTTTGTATTTCCAAACAAACCCTTTTGTTACTTATCACACATTTTTGTATTATTTAAAAGGGTTTGATGCAAAAGTAATGATGCAAATGGTAGGTTGGAAGGGTTATACGTTTAACCCCGTGCAATGCTTAACTCAAGGGATGGAAATTATTTGCTTTATTTAAGGTCATGTACTAATAAAATTAGAAAACACTCAAAGAAAGAATAGTTTGATTTATGATTATAATTTTCATATGTTTTGGTGGTCTTCTATGTATCCATTGTCAGAGGAGCAAAAAGTGTCATTTTTGGCAATGTTTGAGCTTTGAGTAAATAGAGGACTAAATCAAAATAACACATTAAGCTCCCCTTGTTTCTTGCCAAGGAACCAACTCAACGAAAAGCTCAGGCTTGTGGTTGTGGCCAAGGAAATGTTTTTATACTCTAACATACCTCCTCACGTGCAGGACGTGCAGGTCTGACTGCTTCGAGCCTTGCAAGTGAAACCTTAATTTTTTTAAAAAAAAAGTGACGGTGAGGTTTGAACTCGTGACCTCTTGGTCAACAAGGCTCCAATACCATGTTAAGGAACCAACTCAACCAAAAATTCACGCTTGTAGTTGTATGCCTAGGAAAGGTTTTTATATTCTAACATGTCCCCTAATGTGAAACCTTACTTTTTTTAAAAACTGGGTGGCGCTGAGTTTTGAACTTGTGACCTCTTAGTCAACAAAGCTTTGATACCATGTCAAGGAACCACCTCAACCAAAAGCTCAAGCTTGTGGTTGTGGCCCAGGAAAGATTTTTGTATACTCTAACACGCCCCCTCACTGCCTTACGTGCAGGCGTTTCCGCTTTGAGCCTTGCACGTGAAACTTTAATTTGTTTTTAAAACTGGGTGGCAGTGAGGTTTGAACTCGTGATCTCTTGTCAAAAAGGCTCCAATACCATGTCAAGGAACCAACTCAACCAAAAGCTCAAGCTTGTGGTTTTAGGCCTAGGAAAGTTTTTTTATATTCTAACACTTCTTACTCTCGAAAAAGTTTTGGACGGTAAATTGATTGTATCAAGGTCTAATAGGAATAGCCTCCATGTTGTTTACACTGTAAGGGTTCATCTTGACTCCTCAAACACCAATGAGTTGGGATTATACTGGGTTTGTTATTGTTGTTTTCATTGTATGGAGATCTTGATTCTTTCCATTTTACTGATCTTTATTTGAATTTCACTGATGCTATAGTGAAAAAACAATGACATTATACTGATTTTCAACTTAAACTGGTCCTTACAGAAAGAAGCAGGTATTCCCAGAAAAGCCTTCAAGGTTGAGGACATTGCTGGTTTAAGTAAGTTCGTCAACATTCCCCAACATGTTATGGGGGGGGGGGTGGGGTTAAGTGAAGATATGTAA